GGGGGGGAAAAAAATGCAGTTGTGAAGACAGTGCATGACAAAGCCACACGCCCTGTTGTTGTTGGAGGGGAGGTTGTGCAAGGCCACACACACGCACACCTGGCTCTCACAGGAGCCCGAATTATGCTGAGAGAAGGGAAGGCTTGGGCGTTGGTAGAAGGCGGCGTCTCTCCCTCCCTCCCTCCCTCCCTCTCTCTCTCTCTCTCTCTCTCTCTCTCTCTCTCTCTCTCTCTCTCGTCACTTGGTTCTCAAGAGAATCAGAAGGGAATCTGCTCTCATTCCTGGAGAGAAGTTCTCGGATTACGGATGAAGCCCCTCTTCTTATAGAACTGTGGTATTGGAAGGGACCTTCAAGGTCATTTAATCCAACCCCTGCTCAGTGCAAGAGCCGCTAAAGTGTCTTTGATAGATGACTGTCCAGTCTGCGTAATGGTAGGTGGTAGGAATGAACTTTTGAGACAAGGACAAGGTCCTGCCTAGGCAACCATCAGATACAGAAGAACAGAGCTGGAAGGGGCCTTGGAGGTCATCTAGTCCAACCCCCTGCTCAAGCAGGGAACCTTATACTTTTCCAGACAAATGGCTGTCCAATCTTTTCTTAAAAACCTGCAGGGATGAAGCAGCCACAACTTCTGGTGGCAAGCAGTTCCACTGGTTAATTGTTCTCATTGTTAGGAAGTTTCTCCTTAATTCCAGGTTGCTTCTCTCCTTGATTAGTTTCCTGTCTTCAGGTGATTTGCAAAATAGGTTGACCCCTCCCTCCTCTTTATGGCAGCCCTCCAAATATTGAAAGATTGCTATCATATCATTCCTAGTCCTTCTTTTTTAGGGGACTGGAGACTAAAACATACGATGGATGGTTGCAGGCACTGGGCCTGGCTAGTTTAGGGAAGAGAGGAATAAGGGGAGGCAGGAGAGCAGTTTTCTAATATTTGAGGGGCTGCCCCAGAGAGGAGGAAGGGGTCAAGCTATTCTCCAAAGCACCTGAAGGCCAGAGAAGGAAGAATGGATGGAAACTGATCAAGGAGAGATTCAACCTGGAAATAAGGAGGAGTTTTCTGACAGCGAGAACAATCAACCCCCGGAACAGAAGTTGCCTTCAGAAATTGTGGGAGCTTCATCCCTGGAGACTTTCAAGAACAGACTGGGCTGCCATTTGTCCAAAAGGGTCTGCTTGGGCGGGGTGGTGGTGGGGTTGGACTAGAAGATGACCTACATGGTCCCTTCCAACTCTGTTAATAAATGGTGCAGGGTTTTCTGCTTGGGCAGGGGGTTGGACTAGATGACTTACAAGGTCCCTTCCAATTCTGTTAATCTGTTTTCATTAAACTAGATATACTGGACTAGACATAAAAAGGGGGCAGCCTCAATTGCATATAATAGGAAGAGAAAGAAACTTAGGAAGGATCCACCCTTAATTATCAGACTGTAAAAAGCAACTGAGGGAGATTTGCCTTTTCAGAACTGCAAGATTTCTGTTATTGTAGCCATACAATAAGAGTAGATTTAGCTCTTCTGTTTCCTGTCTTGTCTAGCCTGGGAAGGCTGACCCAGCCTCTTTCATTTCAAAGGCACAAGTTTTAATTGTTTATGTGAAAAATCCTCTATTTGAAGAGGACACAAAAGGGCCAACTCAACCATTGGGGGGCGGGGGAAATGACTCTTTAGTGAGAGGTCTGAATAAATGGGAAATCTCTTCTCTTCTCCCTTAAACGTCTCCTTTGTGGAAACCTTTTAATTCAGTGCCCTTTGTCACTTCAACTCAGGGTCTTTAGGAAGTGAAGTTCAGCCGGCTGGCAAAGTTTCAGTCTTTCAATTTCATACTCCACGTTTATAAAACTGGGGGGGAGGAAGAAAGAAAGGGAAGGAGGGAGGAGAGAAGGAAGGCAGGAGGGAGGGAGGGAGGGAGGGAGGGAAGGAAGGGAGGGAGGGAGGGAGGGAGGGAGGGAGGGAGGGAGGGAGGGAGGGAAGGAAGGAAGAAAGGAGAAAGAAAATAAGAGAGAGAGAGAGAAAGAAAAAGAAAGAAAGAAAGAAAGAAAGAAAGAAAGAAAGAAAGAAAGAAAGAAAGAGAGAGAGAGAGAGAGAGAGAGAAAGGAAAGAAAAAGAAAGGAAAAAAGGAAAGGAAAGGAACGGAAGGAAGGAAAGAAGGAAAAAGAAAGAAAAGAAAGAGAAAAGAAAGAAAACAGAAAAGGGAGAAAGGGAGAAAGAAAGAGGAAAGAAAGGAGAAAAGAAATAAAATAGAAAAAGGAAAAGAGAGAGAGAGAAAAAGAAAGGATAGGAAAAGAAAAGAAAAGAAAGAAGGAAGAAAGGAAGGAAGACAGAAAAGAAATAAATAAAAAGAGAGAGAGAAAGGAAAGGAAAAGAAAGGGGAAAAGAGAAGGAAAGGAAGGAAAGAAGGAAGAAAAAAGAAAGGAAGAAAGAGAGAAAAGAAAGAAAAAGGGAAAAGAGAGAAAAAGAATAGAAAAGGAAAGAAAGAAAGAAAGGAAGGAAGGAAGGAAGGATGGAAATCTCATTAATATAGACAGGAAGCACAACACATGCTCTTAAAATATAC